TCGCTTGCTTTGATTCATCCTTATTTCCTTGTCATTATATTTTTTTGTTTTAGCTAGTTATATACTCCATCCTTGATTAAGTTTAGGTTTGAATTTTGCTCCCCAATTTTCTGCCTAGTGTTTTGTGATAACCATTCTTTTCTTTTTGACTCTGAATGCTTCTTAGCACTTTTTGAGCTAAATTTTTCCTTGCCTGTTTCCATATGGTTTTTATTGTGTCACCATCATTAACATAATTGTGGTATGTTTGTTAATATATTAATAATGCTGCTTAATCGTGAGACAGCTGAAAGTCCTGCCTTCTCCTCTTGTACGTGCACAGGAGCACTTGCAACCCTGCCTAAATGGCAGCATCAGCAACATCCTGATGCCACCCCTTCTTCACAGCTCATACCCTATATTTCCCTAAAAGAGGTGGCACGGTGAGAGACACGGTGAAAGGCTGTTAAAGACATGGGTGTAGTACTTGGAAAACTGGATTTACATTTCTTTCAAATAGTAATATTGTAGGGTTGGGATGTTTGTCCTTGGCCACAAGGGACTCCATAAATGCCAACCTGGAATTTCTTATGAGTATTTTGAAAAGCTGAGAAACCTTGCAGCTATATTAGATTTGGGCAGTGTTTATCTTAATGTGTTTATTAAGTTGAGGGAGCCCCCGGTGGTCTAGGGGAAAAGACACTGCACTGTCACTGCAGAGACCCCGGTTCGATTCCCGGTCGGGGCCCCTCCCCGGGCAGATGGAGCTCGTTAGCCCGTAAGGCAATCCATCTACGTCCTGAGGACCTCGCTGCCACCGTCCAAGCGTGCTTGGCCCCGGCAGATGAACCTCAGGATTAAAGGGTGGGCTCAGTTCCGCGCGCACTGTGTCTCACCTAAAAAATCCAATGCGCAGGCTGGAAGGTGTAAAGACCTTCCCCGGTTCTTCGTTCGCGAAGAGACTGGCCATCACCATTAAGTTGAAGTTTTTAGGTTACCTATTTTGTCTGGTTTATAGCTGCAGAGTTCTTCAAGTATGGATGCTGCAGCATTAGCAACAACTCAAAGAACCTCATCACCTGAACCAGACAGAGACTATGTCAGCCAACTAAATACCGTTTCACAAAGGGAACGGCTACACGTCGATTATCCTGAAAGAACTCGTATTGGAGATGACCATGCTCCCATGTAAGATGTACTTTGTGTTCCTACTTCCTTCTAATACTTTGTTGCATTTACTAATGCTACCATTAATTATCTTCAGTCATGTTAGCTAAATCTTTAGAAATAAAAATTCAGAGGTAGTCTGGAGAGAATCCAGTGTAGGGCCATTAAGGTGGTTAAGGAGTTGGAGCATATGCCATAGGAGGAGAGGTTAAGAGGATCGAGTTTGTTTAGCTGGGAGAAGAGATCGCATGATGACAAAACGGTAGTCAGTGCTGAAAATCATTAGTTTTCTTGGTTGTAGCTCTGGCAACTTTGTGGACCTCTGTGTGTGTGTGTCTTGGAGACTTCTAGGAATCAAGTGCCAAGGAACCTGTTGGTGTATGTATTGCTGTAGAAATGTTCCAGTTAATGACAGGTGTAAGATGATAAAGAATATCTACATAGTTTAACTCTCTTGATAATATCTGCTGGAAGGTTCCTCCTCTCTTATGCAGCAAAATGAGCCATGTTAAAACCTAAACTGCAGATATCTGTGATAGAGAGTGTGTATGATATATTGCTTTGAGAAGCTCAGCTTTAAAAAGTGCTAAATAATCACACTCTAAGAGTGAGTTATCTTAAAGGCACATCAAATTAATTGTCTACCATTATCAATTAGATTAAATGTATATTGGGAACACTGTCCTGAAGATGTCTATTTCATATTTCCATTTTATGATATCAATTCACTATAGTGTTTAAAATCATTAAATCAAGACTTGTCATATGGTATACAAAAGTTGATTCCCTCTTGTATTCGACAGATTTTGTTGTAGCTGTACAATTAGTGGTCGGTTATATGGAAAGGGCACTGGACCAACTCTAGCTGCTGCAAAACAAGCTGCTGCAAAACAAGCACTTGAGAAGGTAAATAAAGAAAGCTCTCTAACAGTATGTGCTATATTTACCTTTAAGACAGAAGTTTAATTTTTTAATGTTTAATCTTTAATCTTTGAACA